ATAGATAGATAGATAGATAGATAGATAGATAGATAGATAGATAGATAGATAGATAGATAGATAGATAGATAGATAGATAGATAGATAGATGATAGCATTATTGATCCATATCTTATTTCACATGACAGAAGCTTGTCATAGGCAATCCAGTGATAGAAAACTCTTAACTCCTTGGTTTTCTCAGTCACAAAATTAAAAAAAAAAATTATTATTTTTTTGCTCCCAAAGAAGGAATCACTCGAAAAGTTGAGATGAATCTAAATGCTCTCTGGCTGTTGAGTCTAATTGTCTATTTTGTGAAGAGGTGAAACAGTTTGGTCTGCTCATTCTCTTTCCATTCTTGTTTGTGAGGCAGAAAATGCTGTGTCATCAATGAGGCCACCTCATTCTCTTCATATAGTCTGTCCAAAAAAATAAAGAAACAAAATTATAAAGAGATTAAGGGAAGTGAAGGAAAAGTCCTAGCTTTTGTGAAGGTGATAATTTCAGAAGCCTTCTCCTTCATTATCAATTCAGTTCATATGTGAATCAAGGTATCCCTAGTTCAGATCTGCCACCAGAGCCCATCCTGTCTCAGGACCTCAATTACTAGCAAATTGAGCGGGCAAGAAATGAACAGGACCAAGAGTGAGACTGTTGCTTCAGGTGACCGTTCACACACACACACATCTTTCCCTAAGTCCAGGGACTTCCTGTATCCACTGCAGTGGGAATTCAGCCCAAAATCTTGGGCACTCCTGGCCCTCTTCTGGCTGCAGCTCCACTAGGATTTTCCAGAGCAGTAGACCAAAAGTACTCAACGGCTGCACCAGGGCTCCTTGAAAGTCCCTTTCCTGTTGGTAGGAAAGCAGCTAAGGTAAGACTCCTGAACAGCTATCCAATGCTTCACTCTGCACTGTCCTTCTTCAGAATGAGGCTTTGTAGGGCAGGTGGTCATATCTCCCCCAATGTCTTCTTTGGGCTATTTAGAAAAGCGAGCTTTGATAGGTGATGTTGCCCACGAGGTGCTATTGCTGACTTTTCTGCAGGAAAGGAGGAAGGAGCAGGAGGAGAAAGTGGAAATCCTCCTGCCACAAGCCAAGCAACATGTGTGAATACAGCACTGAAATGGGGCCCCTAAAAACAAGAAGGCAACAGCAGCACTTCCCCCTAGATATTCTAGATATTCCCTAGATATTCAGAAGTTCAGAACAATTCTTGGAAAGAAACCTTCAAAACAACTCATTGCTACTGTTCTATAGGGAGTGAGCACACTTAGAAGCCACAGGTGCTGCTTGGGGAAACCGCCCCCGCCCCCAAAAAACAGACTGGATGTATGGAACGATCTTCTTGAGCCCCTTCACAGTTTACAATATCATGGAAGAGGACATTTCTGAGTGTCTTTCTGGAAATGTGATCTGGAGCACTCTTGTTAGGTGTTAATGATACACCAGACCATTGTGTGAGCAGCCCTACTTGTGAATGCAACAATACTGATGTCACACGTAGGGTTGTTGTAAGGTTCGATACTAGGGATGGCATTATTCTTCCATGGGAGTCAGTTTGGTGTAGTGGTTCAAGGCTCGGGACTAGAAACCATGAGTTCTAGTCCTGCTTTAGCACAAAGCCAGTTGGGTGACTTTGGGCCAGTCACTTTCTCTCAACTCTGGGAAGGAGGCAATGGCAAACCACTTCCAAAAATGTTGCCAAGAAAACTGCAGAGGCTTGCCCAGGCAGTCACCAGGAGTCAAGACTGACTTGAAGCCGCCACAAAGCCAAACAAACAAAAACCCCACCTTCCGTAGAAAGGATGGCCCATCACAGCTGGTTTATGACTGATTCCTGCTGGAGTTTCCAGATGTTTCCTCTTCATAACTATGATAGCGCTGCAATTAAGGCTGGATCTCAAGCCACAATCCCAGATACTGCATACAGCAAACAGTCTGGAGCCATATATGAGCTGACCAAATAATGCCATGGCTCACCAGAGCCTGTTCTTTGAGAAGACATTGGGCTGTCTGGAGAGGATGTGTACTTGCAGTTGTTACTGTATGTCCGGAGTCTAATGGGGGTGGGTAGGTAGAAGATCTACACCTATTTAGGTGCACCACTGTTGACTGATACTCCTGCTGGAATGCAGCACTTAGTTCTCTGCTACACCCAGGAGATGGACTGGTCTTGGAGTGCTTGGGACGTCTTAAAGCCAGGGTGAAACAATGGCATATGTTCAGTGCTATTGAGTAAACTCTTTCAGGCAGCTGGAGAACCCCTTTGGTCAGACTCAAAGAATGATCTCAGAGAATACTTCTGCAAAACATTCTGAGGCTAAAATAATTCCTATATCAATAGAAGAGAATTCACAGTGTTCTTCAATCTAGACATACAGACCTTTCTATCTGACATTCTTTTAGCCTTCCTTGCTCGAATGGTTCCATCCTGGTTTCCCTGCTCATGTGATTTCCTGTTGTCACAACTGCATTTTGTTGCCGTTACACCTC